AATAAAATAAAAACTACATATCAAGTTCCATACTTGTGTCACTAGTTATACCCAATTCTAAATAAGCGATTTAATTTCATGGATGCATTTGAACTGCAACAATTTTCAAGGCAGTTTACAATTGGAGGGAGAGAGAGAGAGAGAGAGAGAGAGAGAGAGAGAGAGAGAGAGAGAGAGAATCAACCATGAAATAAGTGTTTTTCACCCTGCTGAAGCCAATGCAAAGGGAATTACACTGCAAGGATCGGTTTTGTTGTTCAGAAAAGATTGTGAGGCTGCAATCTGACACAATCATACCCAAGGAGAAATAAGTGTGCCTCCAAGTCACTCAGAAAGTTGAAATACCTACATACATAGCTCAACACATACTGATAACTATTTTAAAATATATTAACAGACAACATTTGGAACATTCATCTTACAAGCACTCAGTTATGAGATGACGTTTATTGGGGGATTAATGGAATCCCTAATACCTTACTCCTTTCTACTTTAGCGAAATTATGCCCCCAGCCTTTTAAAAACTATAAATTGAAGGAAAGGTTGAAAACGGATGAAGAGGATTTCTGGTCTACAGGAAGGAAAAGCTCTCTGCTTTGTCCTGTGATAGGTGTGCAGTTTTCAAGCAGATTTTGATCTGGCCGAGCGGGAGGGGCCATTTGCAACATCGGGGAGCATAACAGGGATAAAGCCTCTATTCTAAACCGGAGAGTTGTTCTCCCATTGAAATTGCTTCAGTTGTAAAAATAAATTAAATAGTAATAATTTGTGTTTTAACAAAGTTGTTTATCTTAACATTCATATTTCTAGAGAATTAGTATCCACTGAAGGGACCGCGCAAACTTCAAGCAAATTCTTGTCTTTATATGTCCTTTTACACCATAGTTCGTTTAATCCCATTTAATGGCTAACAATAATGGTTCACTTTGAGGACGTAAGACTTTTGTTTCTTTGGCAGAACTGCAAAATTCCGACAGTAACCTCCCCCCGCCCGCCCGCTTAGCACAGAATATACTCATTTTGAGCAAAAATGTCAAATCTACTTTGATGAAATCTATCCTTGCTCAGAATACTTCCCCCCCAAAAAAAAGAAAAAGTTGAAACTGCTTATCCTGCCCAGTGATGTTTCATGTGAAAGGCATTGAGCTCCCGTTTGAAACGTTCAAATACATCTTCTGTCGGTGGGTTTTAGGGCCGAAATCTCTTGGGTGCTGTGAAATGTCAGCACCGCAAAACGAAGCGGGCAGGGCAGGGGGACTTGCTTGGGAAAGGACTACCTTGTTTTTACCAGGGGCGAAACTAGGCTTTATTTCACTCGGGTCAAAGAGCCAGTTTGGCACATATTCATGCGCATTTGCATGCACACACAGAGGCTGGGCCTCAATGGCGCCCCTCTGAAGGCTCCAGGGGCAAAACAAAACAAAACAGCTGGCTAGCCGCCCCATAGCTACGACTCTGCTTTTACATTCGCAGTGAGGGCAAAGTTTGCTGTCTAGTCTGGCTAATTTAAGACTAGGAAACCGCAAACCCACTTTTCTGAGCTTTAAACGCCGGATTCCTAAGATTCAAACCCGCTTTAAGTATTGTTAGTTCATGAGAACACGCGGGCGCGGGGGGCGGAGTCGCGCTGGGTAGCTGTTCCCCCCGGCTTCCTCAGGTGCACGTCGGAAGGGCGGCAGAGAACCTTTGCGGGCACAGGATTCCACGGGATCCGGAAGGTTGTAGATCACTAGGCAGCCTGTAGGAAGAACCCTTTCCCTCCCTGCCTTCAGAAGCTTGTCCTGTAGGCTCATGGGGCTATTCTCTGTTGATCTCAGGTTCTGCTTGCTGGTTTCTTGTGAGCCTCGGGAGGGGGGCACTATACTAACAGCACTGGACTGGACATAAGAGCCTAGGAGCCGAGGTTGAGAGGGCCGTCCTCCCCCCGCCCCCGCCACCAGCACGTTGGTGGGCATTGCCATTCAAATGGTGTGCCTGCACAAGGGCATGTGATCGATTATGTGGGAAGGGGCTTACTCCCACCCCCACCCCATATTTTATTAAAGTTGGCACCCCTGGGACTAGAGGAGCCTTGGGTCTGATCCAGTAGAGGTCTTCTTATATTCTTAAAGGCAGAAGGTATGAAGGGACCAAGGTTCAGCACAGGCTTCCACGCGTGATCTGGAAGCAAGCGTGTACCCCTGAAGGCTCCCGGCCTCCCTAGTTCCCTGACTGGCAGCGGCTCTCTCGGATTTCTGGTAGAGTTCTCTCTCCCAGCCCGACCTGGAGATGCTGGGGTGCAAACCTGAGTCCTTCTGCATGCAAAGCAGATGTTCTACCATTGAGCTCTAGCTGTGGAAAGACAGTGGCGAGGCTATTGGCACAGCCGTGACCCGCACGCCACCCGTTTGTTTTTTACTAACCCCTCAAAAAGGCTTTAACTCCGCATTCTACAAACACGTGTTTAAACTTGCTGGCTTCATAACGTCCATTTTCAAAAAGGGCATTAGCGTTTTATCATGCGCTTAGCGCTTGTAACCTCCACTGTAAAAGTCTTTGGGAGACTCCGCCGCCCCATGTATAGTTTATTATATTAAAACTGGAAACCCAGACTTTCTCAGGGTTATTATTCTATTATAAGATTCTATTTTTTTCTCTCTATGAAGTGACTCTGAAAAACGCTGGTTCCCTTGAGGCCCTTGAACTCATGTAAATGCCTTCTCACCTGGGCAAACCATTTACAGTGGTACCTCGGGTTACATACGCTTCAGGTTACATTCGCTTCAGGTTACAGACTCCGCTAACCCAGAAATAGTACCTCGGGTTAAGAACTTTGCTTCAGGATGAGAACAGAAATTGTGCTCCGGCAGCGCGGCAGCAGCAGGAGGCCCCATTAGCTAAAGTGGTGCTTCAGGTTAAGAACAGTTTCAGGTTAAGAACAGACCTCCGGAACGAATTAAGTGCTTAACCCGAGGTACCACTGTACTCCGAATTCGTCCTGCTGCTCTCTTACCCGCGACAGCGCAATCCTAGCCATGGTTTCCTTTGAAATAGGTCCTGCCGCGTTCAGTCGTGCTTACTCCCAGATAGGTTTGCAACCTAACAGTGACATCCTATGCACGTTTACCCGGAAGCGAATTCTGTTCCGTTAAATGGGACTCTCAGAAATGCGTGAGCGGATTGGACTGCAGTCTAATTCAGAATCATACTTCTGATTGGCATGCTGGTGTCGCGCGCTCCTCCCTCTCCCCAAAATACCCATTATGTATGTATTGCTTCATTTACACTCCACCGTCCCTCCAAGGAGCCATGCATGGTTCTCTTTCTCCCCATTTTATCCTCACAACAACCCTCTTAGGCTGAACAACTTGCGGTGCGCCCAATATCACCCCAGTGAGCTTAGTGGCTGAGCAGGGATTTGAACCCTAGTCTCCCAGGCGTCCAATACTACACCAAGGCGGCTCTCTCACTATTAATAGTAGCAATAGTAGTAGTGCTAATAATACTATTAACCATCTCCTGCAAATTAAAACAAAAATGCCCAGGGGCGACGCCTTTCCTTTCCTAGGGTGGGGCAGGACTTTGAATCCGATTAAATGCTCTGTTGAGAAGAACAGAGCACGTGCAAGATGAGGCCTCTTTTCTACACGGTCACTGAAGACAGAGGAAGAACATGCAGAGCCTGCGGAGCATCTCTGACAGGGGCTTCCTTCACCTCGGCTCCATGCTGCCCTGGCCATGACCAAGATTAGCGAAGTTCCTCCTTCAGAAAGTTCGCCAGGGCTCCAGGAACCTCCGCTCACTTCCGACGGCCGGATGTACACTTGGACCCTCTCAATACAATGCCTCTTGATTTGTTTCTGCAACTATAGCAACCGGCCTGAGACTCTTTCCCGCCGATCCTTTTGTTTGAAAAGGCAAAGCGCAAGAACACCTCCGAGCCCCCCCCCCGGAAAGCGGTCAATGGATAGATAGGCTGGAACGCCGTTAACCCTTCCAGTGGCAGGCCATCAAATTCTCTCGCTCTGAAAGCGAGGCAAATTGTGAGACAGGCTATGCACGTGACGATTTAGAAGGCGCACGGCTTGGGGGAGGGGGGCGAGCGCAGGCAGATAGATGATGCCAGCATCTGCTTCATCATAAAACATCCATGTGGGGGCGGGGGGTTGTGGACAAGCGTTTTTGTCTGATGTGTGTGAAATTCGGGACATCCGAGACTTATAAAGAGGTCTGAAACGGGGACTGAAAAGAATGCAAGAGGCTGTCAAACGTGGAAGCGACTGGCTCGACGAAAAACCGAAAGGAACACGCGGCAGGCAGAGATAACAGAGGGTTTAAATAACGCACATATACATTGGTATAGATAAGGGAGACATGAATTCAATAGGTGTCATAGACAGGTCCCTTAATACTGATTCCGCTTGCAGATATGACTTCCTGGGTAAAAGTATTCCGCTGCTCCCAACCAACTCAAGCTTCAGGGTCGTCATGTATTACGCAAACTGCACGTGCAGACAAGGCTGCGGAGAACCACTTAGAGCATGAACAATAGCCTCCCATTCATCGCGCGCGGAAGACACTGCGAGTCAATACAATGGCGCCACTGTCGCGCGGCCGCGCGCGCACACACACATCCCACCCGCCAATAATGGTTTGAGTCACAACTGGCTCACACCTCAGGGAAAAGAGGCAGGTTCAGGCAACCCCGAAGGCCCATCTCACCCCCACCCCCCACAAAAGGGGGGGGGAACCCAGAGGAAAGCAAAGAGCAGGAGCGGAGGTGCCATTACCTGGCTCTGCATCCTAATGTAGGAGTTGGCTGGAAAGTGAAGCCCACAGAGCTAATGGGGCTTCCCACCCCCTTTTTTTGGTGGGGGGAGAGCATCTTTAGATCAGATGGCAGGCCCAGGCGCATCCCAGGGCACTTTCGCGCTTGCAAAGAGGAGAATCTCTCTCTTTAACACACACACACACACACACACACACACACACACACACGAGGCCTGGCCTCGGCCGCTCACCTCCACTTTGTCCTCCTGTTCTGGAACCAGGTCTTGACTTGCGCGTCGGTCATTTTCAGTGCCTTGGCCAGAGCCGCCCTCTCGGCCGAGGCCAGGTACTTCTGCCGATGGAAGCGCTTCTCCAGCTCGCAGATCTGCAGGCGGGTGAAGGAGGTGCGGGGCTTCTTCTTCTTGGGGGGCGTCCGGTTCTGGTAGGGGTGACCTATACGGCGTGTTACAGTGAACGGTGAGAGGGCCACTGGAGGGGGAGACAGGGCGGGCGGGGGTGGGGGGTGGGGGCAAAGAAGCAAGCGGCGACATGATCAGGAGGGGTCCACAAGCGTCGGCAGAGGAGAGACAGAAAGAGACAGACAGACAGACAGTCAGAGAGCGAGGCTGGGCCGAGGTGGGCCGAGGAGAGCACGGGAGGAAATCCCAGGCACAGAGGCAGACACCCCCACTCCCCTCAAGACAGGCTACGACCCACAATCCCCACCCTCTCTTCGTTTAGCCTTGCGAAGGGGAAAGTGGAAACCTCTCCAAATTTCTCTCCGAAGATCTCGACTTGCCTGAGCTTCTCCAGTTTATTTTTTTATTTTTTTATTTACATCCTATTTATTTCTATCGCCCCAAGAGCCTCTGGACGTACACATGTAGAGCACTACGACGACATCTATCAAGTTAGTAAACTAGCCACGAGACTAGTCCCCTGGATATTGAAAAGACTTCAGATCTAATCTGGGGGCTCTTGGTGGGCCGGGAGACGAGTTGGAAAGGAGTTCCAGAGATGGGATATTCTAAAGGCCAGCAGACAGGCCCTTGAAGACTGAAACTGGGGTTTCCCTTTCCCCCTCGCCCCCCGACGTAAGACAAAACTAGACTGAATGGTCCACAGGGCACATTTATCGAAGGCTTTGAGACCAGTGGAACAATCCACAAAACATCTCCGTCCCTTTTCCCAGATAGGGAATCAAGGTTGAGAAGGGTTTGTCCCTAGCTGACTTTGGGGAGGTGACGTGGGTGAAACACCTTGGGTTGGTCCATTAGCATTCACTTTCTGGGGGTTCAGCATTCCGCCCCCCCCCCGCAAAACAACAATAAAACAACAACAACCCCGGAATGGGCAACATGACAGTAAATGGATGATCATCGAGGGACTCCGGGCGCGACTTTTTTCAAAATACATATGTAATCGTGCAAAACGTTGGCTAATCCTACCCTCTAAGGCTGAGCTTTGCTGCCTCGCTAGCCCGGAGGCCAGCGCAGAGCAACACCGCGAGCGAAATGAGGACAAAACTCATCTGGGCCTCGCAGGAGTCACGAATCACTGCAGCAATTAAATCCTATTAATGTTTCACCGCACCCGCTCCTGCCCCCGAAGGCTTTAATTTTGCAAAGACTGAAGCAGCTCTGACTTTCAGGCAATTTCCCTACCAACCACTTTGGTTTATTTCCCCCCGAAAACGTTGCTACGGGTGACTCTCAACACACGTATCAAGGCCCACTGAAATCAATGGGGCTTATTTCGAAATAAAACGTAGGACTGGGTCATAAACATTGGATCGAATTACCTCGGAAGAAAAGGGTGCAGAGCGTCAGGCTATGAGCAGCGGTGGTAAAGTTGTAAGGGTTGGGGATCCTGGAGCCCCCATCAGGCCCGGGCCAATGCACAGGGATGATGGCAGTGGTGACCCAACAACATTTGGAGGTTACTCATCCCTGCTGTAAACCTCAGCCCTCAGCTGGAAAAAGCCATTGAATACAATGGGACACCCTCCGAAGAAAGACGCGCGGGATTGCGCTGTAAGGCTTACCAATGAACTAAGTCTCACTCAATGCAAATACGCTTACTCTCGAATCAGTGCGCGCAGAACTGCAGCCATCGTGGGACTGAGTGTAGAAGGAACGTGGTTAGAATTGGGCTACACTTCTCCCTCCCCCCCCCGAAAAACTACGTTGCTCTTTGGGTGTTACTGTGTTTCAAGCGGATGCAGTTCGATATAATCGATACAGCGTTTCATGAAATACTGAGAGCACTTGCTTGTTTAATTTTAAAAATACAATTCACACGCACACGAAACCTGCGGGTTGCTTTTAAAGGAATGCTCGTAAAAACTATTAAGAATATGAACGAAGACTATTAGGTAAAAAGCGGGTGGCATGGTCGCGCGTGTGTTTGAGGGGGAAGGAATAGGAAATGGGCCGCGTAATCAAAGATATTCTTTTGATTTTTCATATGGTTGTCCTTTTGATTTTAAATCGATGCAATGTGGCCTGTTTTCCGACCTTTCCGATGCTGGAGTGAAATCATTCTCAAATGGCAACAACAATCTGCTATGTAAGTAACAAAACAGAGCAAAAACAAGCAAGCCCCCAAAATACTATTTAGATTGCTTTCTCAACTTTTCCTCTCCCTTGTGATTAGTCTTTCCTATGGAAGATGTTTTCCAAAAACCACTGTGGCAAGATTTTTACATTAAACTTTCCGACGCGGAAAACAAAAGGATTTAAGAGTCACTTGGGGGTTGAGGACGGGGACCTTTTGGAGTGTTGCCTCTGGTTCCAAGTTTGCCTGGGAATTATTCTGTTAAATAGGACACTTAACAGCGCGATCCTCCAACACCTCTCTATTCAGGCCTAATGTACTTTTTCCTCCTTTAATTTACAAAAAAACAAAAATACTCCAGGCATTTATAGGGGCAGCATGGAGCGAAATACATACTGTAAGCTTGAACTGGGAGAACTGGAAATAAGTTGGAAGTAAGGGGAAGGCGGTAGGTGAAAAATATGAAATGAGTTTATTTTAGTGTTTGTACCCCCCCCTGTCCTAGGATATCTGAACGCTGATTTATAATTTAGTGGCAAATCCGAAGACTTTAAGAGACTTTCAAAATATCTTTATTTATGGCTAGATTCGATTGCAATCCTATGCACTTTTTACCTAACAGTTAGTGAAACTGTACATAGCGGGCCTTACTTCCGAGTAAACGTGCATGCTATTGCGCTGCTTATGAATATTAAAGAAGCGTTCCACAGGAAAGCGAGGAAAATAAATTCCACCAAACGCTCCGCATATTTTATCACACAGTTCCCAATCCACACACACGTGTTTCCCTCAGGTTTAACGGCAACAATTTTCCTATTTTGCCCGAATGCTTTCAGCGGAAGGCAAGGGGAGAGAGGAAGAGGTAGGCCTCTAACTTGCTACAGGAGCCTCGTCGGAAGAACAAACCTGGGAGCCCAAGGCGCTCTCTTGAAATAAATGAATAAATCAGACTGCGCTTTTTTAAAAACCTTTTTAAAAATCGTGCTCTAAAAGCAAGCGGCACAGAGCCACGCGTGCTGCAACCATCTCACTGACGCCTGGAAATCATGGCTGCAATACGTAATAAAATAAAATAAAGGTTGCAGAGGGAATGCAAGATAACATCTACATTTCTATATTTTATGGGGTCATCTGTAATAAAAGACTAGTTCTTACGGGTCTTGCTCCTGGGATTCTCCTCGCTCCTCCAACGAAACCCCCGGTTTCTCCCCACCTTGGGGCGTTTTCCCTGCTGTGGAATAACAACATCCTGGAAACCCTCCTGAAACCGAAGCGGGGCGGAGGGTTCGAGGCTCAAACCCAACGCGGATCGCAGGCCTCGGCGCGGTGGGCGCGCTCTATTCGGTGGAAAGACCCCGACTGCGCGGGTGTTTATCTGCCCATCTGTCTTGTTTGGGGCTCTCCAAACAGTCATTGGTTTGAACTTTACAACCCCCCGGGAGATAGGTAAGTTGCCAGCCCTTGGGGTAATCCTATCCTTCTCCAAGCGAAAGATAATGGGGATTTTATTGATGAAGCTCGGGTTTCACTCTTTAAATTAAAACTGAAATATTATGGCCGTCATTGTTTGCAGTGGGAGGGGAGCGGGGCAGGAAATCCCCGAGATGTTCCGAAAGCCACCGGTTTATGTGGCGGTTCTCCTTCGAACGGATCTGCCTCTGAACTAATATTCATTTTGATCGGCTCACATATTCTGTTTCGTGCATGTATAACAGCAGCGCAGATCTCTCCATTTACAGGCCAGAGATTCGAGAAAAGACTGGATCCGAAAGGAGGCGCAAAAGGAAGACGTAGTTCCCAAGACCAGACTATTGATCGGCCACTCTCGCCCCTGCCATTCGCATCTGGATCCTGCCCCTTTTCATTATTTATGTTACAGATCAGTATCACGTAATGCCGTCTGTCTAGGGCTGGGAAACATGTATATGTGTATTAGTATATAAATTATTTTATAAAGGCACGCGCACGTGTGCTGTATATTCTATTGAAAACAGTCGGGAAGGTTATTAAAATGTTACCTGAACATTGGAATAGGCTGTTCTTTCGGTAGTAGATGAATTATTACTTTTTATAAACATAATTATTTGGCCAAAATGTTATATTTTACACACACACACACTATTCGCCTGACCACATTATAAGCTACTATTGTGGTGGTGGTGGTGGTGATTATTGCTATTAGTGGTAGCATTTATTATAGCCTTTCAAATAAATAAATCTGTCACAGTTTTAAGAGATATAGAGAGATATAGCCATGTGAGGGGGAGGGGGAATTCAGCTACAGTAGGAATGCATCATTTATAAATTCATTCGCGTGAGTACTGGGGCTGGATCACCCCACCAATTTAAAAATAAAAATAAAGGAGACCTCAGCTCCTATGAATGTCATTGAACAAAGTATGGATAAACTACGGATTATTAGCATGCCAATTCCATTTCTGGGAGAAATACTTGAATAGCTCGAGAGGGTGAAAGCCTACTTCTTCCCTTGTAATTTCAACAACATTAGAACCTCGGGATAACAGTGCTGTCAAATACAGCCAATTTAATAATGATAATCAATGTGATTAAACTTCTCTACTACGGAGGCCTCTCTTTTTTTTTACCGCCAAATCCCAGGCATATATATGAGCGCTCTAGTGGGCCATAAATCTAAGATCAATCCATCAAAGCTATTTATAAATCACGGCCAATCGATGCCATTAAACCAGTTACAAATCGTGCCCAAGGCCTGCCCGGTAAATTTGTTGCTTAGGGGCAGAGAAGGGACGCTCCATCTCCGAGCCAGTAAGCTTATTTTTGTTTTGTTTTTCGGATGCGAGAGAAGAGAGAGGAGAGCGAGTGAGCGAGTGAGCGAGCGACGGGGGAGACCAGTGCAGGTGTGCAGCAGGAGGGAAAGAGACCCACTCACCTGTGAACCTGTCCTTAGTGTAGCGCCTGTTGCTCTCCATCCAGGGGAAAGTCAGCCCCGTGAGATTGTTCACGGACGGGACGGTGGGCACGGCCGTGGAGAGAGGCTGGTGGACGCCTCCGGTCAGGGGTCTGTGCGCCGGCACCCGGATCACGCCCCCGGCCGCGTTGAGGTTATTTCCGTTCATGGTCCCGACCCCCAGGTTCATGTTGTAAGACCCCGCCAGAGAAGCCATGCTGCAAGCCCCGCCGTTGCTGTAACCTCCGGCGGAGGACGACCCTCCTCCTCCTGCTCCTCCGCCGCCGCCTCCGCCGCCGGTGGCCGAGCCGTAGTGGCCGGCCATGGGGTTGTACGCGCTGCTCACCACGCATCCTCCCAGGCCGTAGTCCGCCACGTCCTGCAGGCGCGCGTTGGAGATCATGCAGCTGCCTTGGTCCGGGTTGTTGAGGATCTGGTCGATGCCGAAGCTGATGGGCTCGGCGTGGCTCTGGTGGAGGTGGTGCGCCCCTAAGTGATCCATGCTGGGCCCACAGCCACCCCAAAGAGGGCGACTTTTACCCTCCCCCCTCCACCACCTCCACCACCACCTCCTCCTCCCTTCTTCTTCCAGGCGAGAGGTTTTTTCAAAATACGCGCAGCTTTCCTGGTCGCGCTTCACTTGATCCCAAAGAGGTAAAAAAAAGGAGGATGGAAGCGGAGGAAGGAAAAGCTGGGGAAGGGGGAGGGGGAGGGTGTGGGGGGATGTGCGCGCCCGTGGGCTCCCTCTCTCGCCTAGCTGCGAGGGCATCAATCATGTTAGCCAAAAGCCTGGTGCTGCTAGGCCCTGCTCCGCCATTGGCTGGAGCACGGAGAAGCTGGATGAATGACAGCCGAGGAGAAAGAGGGAGGGAGGGAGGGAGGGAGGGAGGGAGAAGAAAAGGAGTTTCTTTCCCAGCCAAACCCAAGCGGGGAGCCCCGCCAGGCACCCATGGACCCTAGCAAGACCATTCGTCTGCGCAGCAGAGTCAGAGCGCTGGCGCTTGGGGAGACGGCGAAGTGCCCGCGCAACCTCTCGCCTGAGTCAGCGCATTATCCGCGCGGCCGCAATTCTGCGCCCCGTTATTTTTCAGCACCGCGTGCGTCCCAGACCCAGCCGGTGGCGGGGCAGGGAATGTTAAAAGCCGCGGAGGGGAAAGGAAAGGAAGAGGCCCTTTCCTTCTTCTTGAGATCCTCGTCAACTGCAGGCCCACCACGCAGAGGCTGGGCACCCGAGTCTGCTAAGTTGCGCACAGTCCATGGACTTGCCTGGGCTAATGTAGTTAGCGGGCAAGACGGAGGACGAGATGAAGATGGAGCATGGAGGGTCAAGTTGATGGGTCGGCGACGGCTTTCCAATGGGCCACTTCGTGGTCCCGATCCCCAGGTTCATGCTACACGACCCCACCTAAGCGGAACATGTCCTCCAAGGACATTCATACTTCTCCACACACTGCGTGAAACTGTTAGTCGTCCTCACAGCAGACCCATTAAAATAAATGAACTAAAGACCGTTTAGAGTAGGATCTACTCTGACTATGATTTAGTGGGTGTGGGTTTAGTTTTTTAAAGGCCTGAGTCTTTCATTTTAATTTCGCTTCCATACCTCTTAAAAACCACAAACCTGAGAGCCCAGCTACTGCTTTTTGTATACATATTTTTTTTGTTCATGATCAGTTGGAAGAAGAAAAATGAACATATTGGAGTTCATCAGATCTTCACACCGAAATGTAATGGACAACTGGGGAGGGAAGGGGAACTCAGGTACCAACTTCTGAAATTATATAATCTCTGAACTATCATATGATATGCACAAGTGACATACACACCCCACCCACTTTATGCCAGGGATAGGGAGCATGTGGCTCTCCAGGTGTTGTTGGATTCTAACTCTGGCCAATGGAGCTGGTGAAGAGTGGACACCAGCGACCACGCAGGATTTCTTTCCCTTCAGCTCAACAGTCCCAGGGCAATTTTTTAGAAGCTGTTTTTCAAAATTCAGAAGTAAGGTGCTTCAACAAGACTTATACCCGCATAATGTATTTCAGAGTGTGGCCTGATCTGCTCTGGCTGCTGACTCAGTTTCCAGTGCAAGGTTTGGTCTGTCCATGTGGGCAGGCAGGCGCAGAAAATTTAAGGAGTCCAGACCGTCGGTGCGTCGAACAAGTGGATTCCGAGCCAGCTGAACTCCGTCTTAGGGTTCCCTCGAGACAAGGCCACTCCGGCTTCTACCAGCCTCATTGAACCGCAGCTTCAAGGAATGCCCTCAACTACCCATCCTTCCATTGTGCCCTCATAATTCTGCAAGAGCTACTTCAGTTCTCGAGGTTGTCCTACCTGGGCCTAAACCGAAGCATTCCCCCCCCCGCCTCCTAGTCTATTAATACGACAATCTTCTTAATAAGATAGGCTTGTGATTTAGATCTCAAGGAGTTGGGGTCCCTGGAGCTTTGGTAGGAAAGGCAGGGTAACCCCCGTAGCGTTAACTCAGGTTGGACCACGAAGATCTCAGAACTAAGAAAGTCGAATCCGCTAAAACTCAGAGGTTATAGTCGTGGGGTGGCAAGTCCATTAAATAGACCCACTGAAATAATGAGTCGTGCTCATTAATTTCAGTGGGTAAAACTTATTTGGATACTGTGTTATGTGCTCCACCTTCCCATTCCCTCCATGGGCCAAGGTGGATATAGAGACAGGACTTCAACCCCAATCCAAATCTTCCAGCGTTCCCCACTGTACAATCATGACTCAAAAAGTAGCTCTAGTATTGAGCTTCTGAAAACCGGTAAGGTAATGACGTGACAATTATCATTCCTCTGGATTCTATATGTCGCCCCCCCCCCGGAGTTCAATCCCCGCTTCCACCAAGCAGTTTGCGTCCTCTAAAAGGAATGTGCCAACAACACAAACTTTTAAGAAGTTTATGGAGCAGCCCTATGCACGTCTACGCAGAATTAATTCCCATTGAGTTCAAGTGTGTAGAGGACTGGAGCTATCATTTCATTTTTAAAACGCGTTTACAGATACAATCGCAACCCCTAGCAAAGAAGGAGGCTCGTTAAAGTTCAGGATCGCGTCTACGCAGCTATGATGGAAAACTTTTTGCTAGTTCTGTTGCTGCTGCTAATGAAAACCACAGGAAAGGGTTGAGAATGGCACTTTTGAACTTTCCTATAAAAAAGCCCCACCCCCAAAACCCCAATATTTCTACGGAAGATTGTTTTGAGCAGCATTGACGATTTCAGAACTAACGAAACGAGTCTCTTGCGTGTGAACCCCAATTTTATCCACATTGATTCAGGCGCTGTCTCACTGAGGGCAAGGGCGCTTGCTTCCAGGTCAAGTCAGAAAGCGCAGGACTTAATTAATTAATTACATTTATACCCCACCTTTCCCCCAAGCAGCTCAAGGTGGCACACATGGTTTTCTTTCTCTCACAACAATAACCCTGGAAGGTAGGTTAGGCAGAGAGGTAGTGCTGCGCCCAAGGTTACTCTGGGCTACGTGGGGATTTGAGCTCCCGTGGCCCCGTCCAGCACTCTAACCACTAAACCACACTGACCATCCATTCGAGGAATTGTGTCCATGAAATACTGTTTTAGAAGGGAGGGGAGTTTCCCAGACATTTTCAAAACCAGCACGGATTTATTCAAGTTGAATAGGATACATGTATTAGAGGAAATACCACATTTTCCTACACTGGTGAAGGGGGGGGGGAGGACTTGCTTATAGAGCTTTTCCTGATTCCAGATGATTCCACTACACCTGTTTCTGTGCTTTGCTGGGTCCCTTCAGAGCTGAGTGAAATTGGGAGCCCCATTTCCCAGGACCTAGAATCATCTCCGTTCCCCCTTGTTTCCCTTCTTATTGCCTCAGATTGCAGCCCTCCCCTTTCACATCAGTTTAGAATTACTTTCACAGAGGAAATGGTTTGCATATTTTCTAAATTTATAAGCCAGAAAGTTTTCGACATTTACTAATTGCTGCGGCTACCGATGGACGGGCCAGTTCTTCCCAAGCAGGATGAGGCTAATGTTGTTATTCTTAATATAGCGCCATCTATGGACATGGCGCTTTAGAAAAACAGGTTAGACAAGTCCCTTGCCCCGAGGGGCTTACAATCTAAAACAAACAAAAGAAAATAACAGAGGAAGGGGTGGGTGGGACTTGAACCAAAACCTCATTGACTGAGAGTTAGAAGAGAACAAAGACACTAATCTTACAATCATCTCGAATTAAATTTATTTTATTGGTTTCAGGGGGATTTAAGTCTCAGGGAAGTCAATGTCACGTCGGCGCAATTTGAAACCCAAATATTTGAAAGGCACATAGAGGAGAGTTCTGTTGCCTCAGGTCCTGCTTGCGGCCATCCCAGAATAAGCATCGGGTTGGCCACTGTGAGAACAGGATGCTGGACTAGATGAGTCTTTGGTCTGATCCTGCAGGGCTCTTCTCACTTTCTTATTATTCAAGGAAGCTGAATGCCACCCAGTGATGTTTATGTGACTACACCACTACAACATTTACTTTTGCTACTGCCATTATTATTTCGGCACACATACACCTCGCTACAAGTACGCAAGGCAGCATAACCCGTTTGAAAACATTCCCAAAGAATGCAGATCCCTTTCTTAGTCCTGCTGTTAACTTGGTCAACTCTGCCATAGATGGAACCTTGTTTGCCTCCAGTTCTCAAGTGGAACTTCCTCTCTTCCCCTCCCATCTCTCCAATGAGAGCAGACGGAGAGAGCAGGTTTTTATCTGGACTCAAGGGATTCGCTTACTACTCAATTTGATTCAGTTATACTTGAACTGAAATTAATTTGGGACCAAACTGTATTCGTCACCCGACGTACATCCAATTGTGTTTAAACAGGGGTTTGTTCTCAGGAAAGTGCACAAGGGCTGTAGCCTGTATAAATACACATGCAACCATTTCTTTCCTGTTTCGCTCAAACCATTTAACAAAGACCTCAGTGCCATCATTTTATTAGATGTAAGCCGATTTCTCGTGAAAGTCAAAGGCATAAATCAGCATAATTTTAAACCAAAACCATGGTGACAAAAATGCAAACTTTTTATTGAGAATGTGCTTTGAAAGTGACCCTCATTATTGGATAAGTACAGCTATTATCCATTTCGGAACAATGAAGCAAGTTAGCAGCTCTTTCCCCCCCCGAAATTAATAGCCTGGATAAACTTCTGTATAATATAAAACACAGCCAAGCAATTTTCATGGGCTTAGAAGACAACTCGAGTCAATTGTCCATTTGTTCAGATTTGCTTACACTTTATTTAAAAGATGTGTTCACTATGGAGGTTGTGTCACGGGGGGTATCGGCGGAAACTTCACCTCTGTAAATCAACACGTGGCGTTTCCTTTGCCCCCCTCCCCCACTCCGTCTTCTTCTAGAGTCCGTTTGGCTGTTTGAAATTGACCAGACTCTGTGGCAGCTTCAAGAAGCTAAAGTATTTCTGTTTGAAATGATTGTTTTTAAGCTGAATGAAACGGACTGTTCCGTCTGCTAAATTGGCGTGTCAACA